TGACCAATGATACTATGAGGGGAGCCCTATACGGGTAAATTTATTGAAACAAATACCTCGTCTTTTCCATGCTAATTTCCCAGATTGCGGATTTCTAGGTTTCCCACAAAAAAAGCTATATTAGATTCTGATTTTTTCTTCCTGTCCAACAGCCCAAATTTTTTGTGACACTTTTTTTTATCGGTGATAAAATAAATTCACCATTTTGTTCCCAATTATGGTTCGCTATCTTCCAGATGTATCTCCCCTTCCAGCCGATACAGCCCTGTGCCAAAATCCACTTGTTAGCTGTGTTGGTGTGCCAACAATGAGGGAGAGCTCCATAAGCACACCAATTCTTGTTGCTTTTTAAGATTAACAGTTTGCGATAGCACAAGGAAACCATTTAGTTTTGTAAAAACACAAATTTACATGTGAGCAAGTGCAAGAAGAGCAGCGACAGCGTACAGTGACAAAATCTGCGATTTATAAAAAATATCGATTTAAAAAAATATCTTCTATTTTTTTTTAAATTTTTTATTCAAATCAGTTAAAAATATAAGTCGGTTTTGCAGACAGATGTACAGGGTGAGATAAAAAAAAAACTGCAACAAAGTCGCCATAATTTTGACATTTTTTTTCTTTAAAATTTATTGAATGAAAGCAAAAATGTCGGAAATAGCATAAAATTTTTGAATGAGTTTAGATCTGTTCGTATTGGTTACCTTTGGCACGAATTATGGCCAAACGGCCAATAAAACCGTCAAATCTGCCCGAGTGTTTCTCTGCGGTGTTTTGGCCCATTCCCGGCGAAGCGCTTGCTTGAGGTGATCTACACTTTTGTATTTTTTAGTGCCAACCTTGCTTTCAAAACTACTCCAGACACAATAGTCCAACGGATTGGTATTCTGATATATTGGTATCCATTGTGCGCTGGAAATGAAGCGAGGAACCTCTTTTTGTAACAATTTTTGGGTGGCGCGTGCTGAGTGCGATAGTGCTGAGTCCTATTGGAATGTCCAAGGTCTGCGACCAAAATGTTTGCGTGCCCAAGGCTTTAATACACCCCCCAGAATATTTTCGCGTTAATATTCGGAATTTTTTCTAATGCCACGGTGGATTAATACGAGCGGAGAGCAACCATCGGCTGTTATGGCGGACCACACCAACACCATGGCCGGCGCCATGTGGCCAACCGAAGGTGCACATTTTCAGCTGACCTCTTTGGCAAGTAAACACCGAATGGATTATTGCGATATGTTCGGCCACTGCGACGCGGGTTTCGATCAAGTCGCTTCTTTACTTTTCGAAACATTTCTGCTGATGTTGCTGTTTTCTTCTGTCCACTTCCTTGAAATCGAGCTACGCTACCAGTATCACAGTAACGAGCGATGGTACGAGGCACAAAATATTTATTCACATTTAAACGCTGGAGTGCTTTAACGGTAACCACTTGTTGCTTTCCAGCCAAATATAAAGAAATCACACTATCGCTCTTAAATTCCATCACGAATAACTTTTTTTCTGGAAAATTCTCACCAAAATGCTTCTTTACGCTTGTAAACAATAGTTGTTTAGAATGACAGCAGTCTGAAGTTGGTTGCAGTTTTTTCATCTCACCCTGTATGTACTAAGTATTCGAACTGTACAGCATGGTACTAAATTTGAAACAGTTTGGTTTAGGATGTTGATAAAGATGGAACTTTAAAATTTTGTATTAAGATTCATGTTGGTTGTAGGCTTGTGATAAGGGAGTGGTTCTGGAAATGTGTACTAAAAGCGCACGAAAAGTAATAAATATTACTATATTTGGTACAAATTGGTATTGGAACATTTGGAGGTGATTTCGGAAATGTGTACTATAATTGTACGAAAAGTACTAAATAGTACTGTATTTGGTGCAGAAATAGATATTAAAATCTGAAATTTGATGTGGATGTTACTGTTGGTGTCTGCACTTGTGATATGGAGGTGATTTCGGCAACGTGTACTAAAATTGTATTAGAAGTACTCAATGGGACTAAATGTGGGATTTGGGTAAGAGGTAAACTTAATATCTGATATTGTGATCGCTGTTGGTTTCTAGAGTTTACATATGAGACGCGTAACCTGGATATATGGAGATACTTTCGGAAATGTGTACTATATTTGGTATTGGATGAAGGGGTAGAGATTAAATACTGAAATATATTTGTACAAAAAGTACTAACTGTTACTTAATTTTGTATTGGGTGAAGGAATAGCCAGGAATCCTCAAATTTGATATTAGATCTCTGTTGCCTTCTGGAATTGAGATATGGAGGTGGTTTTGGAAATATGTATCATGAGTGTACGAAAAGGGATAGAGCTTAAGTCCCGACATTTGATATTGAAGACTTATTTAGTATCTGGGATGAAATTATGTAGGTGATTCTGGAAAAGTGTACTATAATTGTATGAAAAGTACGAAAAGTGTGTGCGAGATTCCTTAAATTGGTATTGGTATCTGAATTTGAAATATTGAGATGGTTTTGGAAATGTTTACTATAATTATACGAAAAGTACTAAATTTGGTTTTGGATGAAGGAATAGAATTGAAATCTTGAAATTTGATATAGATGTCATTGTTAGTGTCTCTGGTTAAGATATAAAGGAACTTTAGGAAATGTGTACCATGATTGTTCGAAAAGTACTAAATTTTGTTGCTGGGCGAAGGGATGGAGATACAAATGTGATATTTGGAGTACTAATTTTATCTGTTTGCACCAGTTTTAGGGAACTTGAAAATTAGAAAAAAAAAATCGTAGAAAAATACGTCTCAAATTAAACCCCTTATATGGGGGCTATACATGGACGTGTTCCTTCGTAGATTTTTTTTGTCATAGGCTGTAGTACCGATTCAGAACATCAAATACGAAATTTGAAACAATTCAATTCATCAAAAACCGAATATCCCAAGGTATCACTATATGGGGGCTATACGAAGACGTGGACCAGCATAGGCAATTTTCAATCATAGGCTGTAGTGGAGGAAGGTATAAAAGGACTAACGCCAACTGTTGGAACGAATCTTAAATTTTTGATGTAATTCTTCTCGAAGTCATATTATGCTTCTTATATAGAAGGAAAAATGTCACTCTCAAAGTCGGTGGAAATCCATTATGAGTTGGATATACCTCTCCTATATTTTAGTTCCTTCTGATTCCAAATTACAACTGCTCTAAAGCCATAATACGTATTCGAAAAGGTTCATTGTCGTATGATCTACTTCAAAACCCCAATAGAAGCGTTTATTTGTTACGGGTAGCTCTTCTAAATATGCATAGTAGTGTGGGGTATCATGGGGTACCCGCCTGTCCAACTTTTGACTTTTCTTTACTGGTTTATTTTGTTCTAAATATTTTTTCCATAAATCTTCAAATGTTTCGTTTCTAAGAAATAATTTTAAAGCTCAAAAATAATTCATTGAAAATCCACGAATATGCTTTGGTTGGCCATGATTAAATATTCTTTAAAAAATTGTACATAATCCGCCTTAGTGGCAGTATGAGAATCCTTCGAAATTTATTCTTAAAAAATATTATTTTTAAAAAATCTAAAATATTATTTTTAAAAAATATGCCCACTGTATGTCGGTCTCCTTCCTTGCTTGCATATCTCATATGTCTTTGTTATGGTCGTTGTCTTCGTCGTATTTTGTGGATGCAGTAAAATCCCCCAACCAGAAGAAATGCCAAAGTAATAAAACCAATTCAAATACTTTATTAAGTTTAATGAGGCATCAGACCGCTAGAAGTGGACGAATGCAATAAAGGCACCACAGCAAGACCAAACATGCAATCTACAATTGACTTGTCTGACACACTCGCTCACTCACTGGCTACGAGTATGGCAATTTGGGAAGGAGTATCCTTTGCACAAGGTGAAGGCTAGTGTCATGACAATTGGCAGGCCACTTCTCATTCCTATGGCAAACGAATTCATACCAAATTTGTGATGTGTATCCTCTTTGTGGTCGCTACCGCTTCTACTGCCCTCTAGTGGCAACGGCAGCGGTGGCGGTATCGAAAGAGTCTTCCAAATGGTATCACTTTTCATTGAAAGTGACAGTAGCTTTCGGCATTTACATAAACGCTGTAGCTGCTGTTGCTGATCTTTTTGTTTTGTTTCTTTGATGGTGTGTTTGTTGTTTCTGGTCCAGCATAAACCACCATCGCTTGCAACAACAACAACAAACAATTTCAAATAACACCATCGAAGAAAGAAATAATAAATACCAAAATTTTTATATGTCTTTTATTTTCTAAGCCATGTTATTTATATTGTTACTGTCGGTCGGTCTGTCTGTCCGTCCACCGCTAACATTGGCTGCTGATGTAGTCTTTTTTGGCTTGGTTTGGAAGTTTGGTTTTGTTGTTGTTGTTTTTTATTTCGGGACAAGTTTTCAGAAAAATGGAAAGTGGTTTGCTTGTTTTGTTTGATAACTTTACACGAAATTCGTTGTCGTAGTTCCAGAAGACACCACCATCACCGATGGTGGTGGAGTACTGGTGCTAGTGGCTAAAACAGCAACAGCAGCTACAATGGCCATTATAAACAGATAGACATATGTAGATATATGATTTATATGAGAAATTTTATAATCCATCTGTGTGCATGCATCCCATAATATTTACCTATCATTTATCTATCCATAAATAATAGATTTGAAAACGAAACTTAAAATGAATACAGATATCATCTCAAATGTAGATCTGGGGAAACACCAGCAAACCCCACCATAAAGTGGAGGTTGGTATGTTAAGTTCATCACATTTTTAAATCTTACAACATGGAAAGGAGGGTATATTAAAATTGTCATTGCGTTTGGAACATCTCTAAATATTAGCCGTAGACCCCATAAAGCATGTATATATTCATGATCAGCATAGAACTCTAAGTCAAATTAACAAGGCTCTTCTGTGTTTTTGTCGAAATCACGATACAGTTCATTTGACTTAGAGCTTTGAAATTTACAAAAAAAAGTTTGTATTGTGTCTAAAATGGTTGGTATTGAAAATGACATTGGTACACGTTTTGGGGTAGACCCTATATAACGGTACCTCCCGATATTCGTTATTTTGTAAGTTTTAGCCACATTTTTTCACCGATTTGTGTAAAATTTGGTATTTGTAGTTTGTAATGGATTCTAGCTCCGGTGACAGAACATTGTGTATAGGTAGGTCCACGTTTTCCTTAAGTTCACATAAAGCGGTGCCTCCGGATTTTTGATATTTTGAAGATTTTAACCAACCGTATTCGTATAATGGTTCCACCCACATTATTGTTGTTTGCAAACTCTAAATGCATTCTCCAACCGGTCTCAATGGTATTTGTAGTTTACAGTGGGACACGTTTGAAACCAGTTACTTTTATATAAAATAAAAAAAATCTAGTAAGTTCCCGCTTTTTAACACATCCACAGACAGCAACAGTTTCAGCATTCCATCCCTGGATGAAGGAATATCCAATACGACATTTAGTCCAATTAAGTACTTTTTTACAAATATAGTACTTTTTTACAAATATTTCCAAAACCAGCACCAACTCTCACACACAGATACAACCAGCAATCTGAATATTAAGTCTCAGAATTTTATTCTATCCCTCCATCCTTATTACTTCACCCAATAAGATATTTAGTACTTTTTGTAAACATTTAGAACATATTTCAAAATCAGCGCTTCACCCTAAACCAACAGTGACACCTATATCAAACTTCAGGATTTCAGCTCTATTACTTCACTTAATTCAAATTTTCATTCATTTCCAAAACCACCACCATATCCCAATTTCAGATATCAACAGACCCCTCAATATCAAATTTGAGGATTCCAGCCCTATGTCTTTACTGAATACTGAATAATTTAGTACCACTTAATACTTTTCATACAATTATGGAACACATTTCCGAAACCAACTCTATAGATTAACCACCGACACCAACAGTGACATCCATATACAATTTCAGGATTTCCACCTCCACATCTCAATGCCAGATACCAACAGACCTTTCAGTATAAAATTTCGGGATTCCAGTTCTATATTTTCACCCAATACTCATTTTAGTACCACTTAGTACTTTTCGTACCTTTGTAGTACGCAATTCCGAAACCACCTCCATATATCAATTCCAGACACTAAAAGAGACATCCATTTCAAATTTCAGAATTTCAGTACAATTCCTTCAACCAATACCAAATTTAGTACTATTAAGTACTTTTTGTACTATTATAGTACAAATTTCAAAAGCAACTCCATATATCAATCTTAGATACCAACAGAGACCTCAATATCAAATTTCAGGATTTCAGCCCTATCCCTTCACCCACTACCAAGTTTAGTACAATTTAGTAAAATGTAGGTTGAATTTCCAAACTTCGAAATTCCTTCCAAGTTATACCAAATTTAGTACAATTTAGTACTTTTAGCATTATTATGGCACACATTTTCAAAACCACCTCCATATCTCAATTTCGGATACTTAAAGGCCCCTCAATATCAAATTTTCGGATTCCAGCTCTATATCTTCATCTAATACCCATTTTAGTACCATTTGGTACTTTTCCAACAATTATTGTACACATTTCCGATACCACCTCCATATCTCAACAACAGACAACAACAGTGACATCCATATCAAATTTCAGGGTTTTAACTCTATTCCATCAACCAATACCAAATTTAGTACTACTACCGCAGACCCCAACAGTGACATGAATATCAAATATGTGGATTCCTGCCCTATCCTTTCACCCTATACCTAATTTATGGTACACATATCTTATGGCAAACATTTCCAAAACCACCTCCATATCTCAATTCCAGATACCAAAGGTGACATCCATATCAAATTTCAGGACTCCAGCCCTATTCCTTCAACCAATACCAAATTTAGTACTTTTCGTACAATTATAGTAATCATTTCAAATCCGCCTCCATATCTCAATCTCGGATGCCAACAGGGACCTCAATATCAAGTTTGTGGATCCCAGCCTTATCCCCGAGACCAAATTTAGTACTTTTTGCACAAATATAGCTCGCATTTCCAAACCACCACCAAATCTCAAATGCAGATGCTATTAGTAGTCGAACTGTATCTCTATCCATTCAGCCAATATCAAATATAGTACCACTAAATACTTTTCGTACAATTATAGTATACTTTTCCGAAACCACCTCCATATGACCAGGCAACACATGAACAGTGACCCTATGACTAATTTTACATTTCACCAAATTCAAAATTGTACCAAATATAGTACTATTTAGTACTCTTTGTGCACTTGTATTGCACATTTCCAAAACTACCCTTTCATTACAAACCTACCACAAACAGGGTTCTCTATATCATATTTTAAAATTCCAGCTTAACTGTTCAGCCTAAACCAAACTCTTACAAATTTAGTACCATTTAGTACAGTTCGTAAAATTAGTGAACATTACTAAAATCAACTTAATATATCAACCTTAATTGTCAACCTTGATTCTCACACCAAATTTCAAGTTTTTAGCTCTATCCGCTCACATAGCACCAAGTGGTACTATTTTAAAATTTGTTGTAACCTTAAAGTCCGAATTTCCAAAAACCCTTTGGCACATATTTCCTGCACACCATCAGAGTCACCCATTGCAAATTTCTCTTCCAGCTCATTCCCTTTTTCCAATACAAAGTATTAAATTTTTAGTATATTTAAGTATTTTCGTACCCTTTCGAATATCCAACCAATACGCATACGCACCAAGATTGACCCTTGTGCAAAATTTCAAGATTCTACGGTTAGCCGTTTCGTTTGGGCGTTGATTCTCGTTCAGTCAGTCAGTAAATCAATTATTTTGTTGCTCTTATATATAGACCCGAGTTCTGTTTCTTGAAAGACTGTTACTTCAGTCTATGCTGTAATAACAGTATGTCTGCTGCAACAACAAAAACTATAATAGTGACAAAAATACTCCATATCTTATGCAATTTCCAAGACTTGAATTTTCGACCCCAATATCGTAATTTTTGGAATGTTTTTCATGATGTTGCGAAATTTTTCTTCTGGGGCTTTTTGGATTGGTGTAGGTCTGGTCACGATACATTCAGTTTCTTAGGATATCTTAGACGCCTAATATACTGTTGAAACAAATCCAAATTTCTAAAAAAACACCAACAAAAAATTTACCATTCATCTAACTTTTACTATACGTATGGCAATTGAAAGCGAAAGTAAGCGTCTTAGAAACAATTCACCCATGTTCGTGTGTAAATCCCTTAACAAGTCCCATTGAACCTGAAAACAATGGTCGAGTAGATGAAAAAAAAAAAAAAACAACTAAATAAGAAGCCAAACCTGGAAGCGGCAGCAGCATCATCATCATCATCGCCTTCAACGACGTTGTCATGACGGGCATCGCCCCAAAACGAATTGTGGCCAAACAAAAGCTAGGCAGCTCTTACCCAAATACATGGACGAGGCATGTGCGTCCAGCATGCAAACCATACCACCAATACTCAAATAGTTGTAAAATATTCAAAAATAAAACTAACCCTAAAGAAGAAAACAATTGAAAACGCTCCTCCATGTTGTTGATGAATAAATAGACTTTACCGTCTCAAAATCAATAAACGCCCTAGGGCAATGAATAATGCTCTTGGCTTGCAGGCAGGCGGGCAAATAGCCAACGCCATGGATGATGTTGATGCTTTATGATCGAACAATAGAATACTTAGAGGTGTGAAATTTCAATGACCCAACACCAGGGCAGCGTCAGACGGACGGACAGACGAACGAAAAAGCGCATCCACATCACTTTCCATTTCATTTGAATTTCCATTAGTCACATATTTCCATAATACTTAACCACTGGTGGTATCCCCGGCGTGAAAGCCTGTTTATTGGTTACATTATTCATCCATAGTTATCTTCTCGCATTCTTTCATAATAATCAGCTTTGACTTAAGCGTGTAATCTTCTCTTTTTTTTATTGCTTCGCCTTTTTTCTCTAATTTTTATTAATTTCTTTTTTTTCATTCTCTTCACTTTTACAGATTGAAGAAATTACCGAGGCAATGGAAACAATTGAATTAATTGTCCACGACGAGGATGAAGAAGATGGAGGAGGAGGAGGAGAAGGCGATTATGATGGCGAAGCCCATTTGGAACGTCAATTCGTCGTTGGCATTGTGTCGCCACAGCCACCGCCATTGAATACAAGGCGGGCAAATCAATCGTCTACTGCTGCCAACAACGATTCCACATTCTCTTCGATATCTTCAATAACTTCGGCACGTACGGTACAACATTATGGTGGCCAAGGAATGCACATGGAATATGGTTACACTGCTAGGCGTCCCAGCTTTGAAATTAACCACAGCTCGGCCCAAGCATTGCAGAAACAAACCGCCTCAACACCAAATCTTTTGGCTAGTCCCCTGCAGCGTTTGGCAGGTAACAATGTCGCCACCACCACCACTGCTGCCGCCAATCAACCAGCCAGGGAACGTTGCAATTCCGGCAGTTATCTGGGGCGCCGATCATCGATGACTACACCCGATAGTGGTGTCAGTAGCCAATCGTTTTTGCCCGGTAACAGTAGTGGCAGCACTGCTACTGCCCCTCCACTCCCCCTACGACCACTTGTCAAATCGATTGGCATTGGCACAACAACACGTTCGTACTGTGACAAATCTGTCAATTCATCACCGGTGCGTGTTGTCTCCACCCTGACATCGCCCATCAGTGAGACCATACCGCAACATCACAACCTTAGCAGGGAGCATGCTCTCAAACTGGAAATAGAACAGTTGCAAGAACGTCTAAAAGACACCGAGGAACGTTTGGAATCATTTCGTATACAACATGACACCGTGTCACAGCTACATCGAAAGTTACGTGAGAGCAATACCCAATTGCAGGAAGAGTCGGAGATGTTAAAGCTGGATGTCCAACATCTCAATGAATGTGCCAATGTGTTGAGGACTGAATTGCAGGCGGCCCGCCACGATCGTGATGAGGCCATGGAATTGCAAAAGGTTTTGCAAACAGAACTTGAAGAGACTAGGGCGGAACGTAAACGGGCCCTGGAGCTCAAGGAGAAGGATGCCAAGACCATACAAGACCTGCAAAGGCAGTGTCGAGAAATGGAGAGGATACTAATGCGCAAACATCCCGATTCGGTGTCAGCTTTAATAGGTAAAGTATACTCCCATATAAATATCCAGCCAGTCTTTCATATCCCTTATTTTCTCCTTCCAGTTGCCTCCAAGGGTGGTGGCATGTCCAGCAATGATCAAGATCGCAATAGCAGGAAACTATTGGAGCAGCGCATTGCACAACTCGAGGCGGATGCCAAAGAACAAGACTTTAAAGCCCAGCAGATACTTGCCAATGTTCAGGCACGTTTCAACTCGGTGCAGGCAAAATATGAAACCCACATTGCTGATTTGGAAACCCAAGTATTAAGGTATAGTCTTCAATCCAGAACACTCATTACAAACAACATCTCTCAAAAAATCTCTGCTTCTCCTTTACAGCCTTCAGGAAATCAATACAAAACTCAATGAAAAAATCGAATCACAGGTGCGCACCTTGGATTACTTTGTCTCCAAGAAGGCGGAGAAATTCTACAACAATTGTACGCAGACCGAAGAACCATATGTTCCACCCACACCGCCGGTAGCACCCACACCACCACCTCCTGCTGCTAAACCCAAACCAAAGATTATACGCAAAACCGTTTGCACTCAAACGCCAATAAATTCCACATGCACCCGTGATAGTAGTACCAATACAATTGGCACCGCAGTTGCACAGGCCCTCTCGGCCAGCTCGAGTACCAGCAGTACAGCCAATTCCACACCCAACAACTCACGGCCGAATTCCAAACAGAGTGGCATACGCAAACCCATGGCCACAGCTTCGGGACAACACTTGTCCTCTGCAATTGCCTCAAAATTACCTGTCTCACAATCCGATTCGACAATTTCTCTATCCGCAGCCCAGGCTGCCCTAAATGCCAAAGAAGATGCCCATCTGCTGGCCACCATACGTGGTATGCGGGTCGATTTGGCCATCAAGAATAAGGCAATGCAGCGATTAACCCGTGAATTGGACGAATGTAAAAAGACAATAAAGAAAATACAAAAGGAGAAAGATGGTAAGTTGGGAAAAGCATTGCGAATTCAGTTTCGCAAAAGGGGACTGAAGAAATGGGTTGTCAATTAATTTTGAGGAAGTGTTTGTTGTCAAAAAATTAAAAAAAAAAATACGAAATTAGCATAGCGCTTCAATCATTCATGGTGTGTCAACTTAAATTGAAATTTTAAGTTGCCGACTCATCTACCCCTACTTGTATGTTTAGCCTTGAGCAAAATATGCAACTTTCAATTTGGGATATAAATTTTAAATTATAATTTATAAAAAAAATAAATTTCTCCAACCTTAAAAACTGACCATGAGTTACGAGAATTTGATTATCTGAGTAATGCAACAGTTAAGAAGAAAGGTAGGAAAAAAGTAATGCCCCACCATTTAGCTAAATCCTTAATAAACGGGTGAAACATTTGAAAATCCCTTGATATCCATAATATCCGTCAAAGGCCAAATCAAAAGTCCGAAAAATAAACAAAATTCGTAAAGAAAACCCAGTCGAAATGGCTAAAGCTAGAATCTTGAAATTTCACCCGAGGGTTAGTCTTGGTGCGTAGGCTTGGGTTTTTGAAAATTCGAGTTTTATTTTTTGAATACAAAAAGTTCTAAAGTGGTGCTAAACTTCTAAAATAATCTAATAATAATTGGTATTATGGGAATGGGTAGAGCTAAAAATTTGATGTATGGTATTAGAATAAAGGTTGGAGAGTTAAGTTTGATATATGAATGTGGTTTTGAAAATGTGTACTGAGTGTGCGAACAGTTTGATTTAGGGTAAACGGATGAAGTTAACATTTTTTGGGTTTCTGTAGGTGGCAGGTTTGTGATAAATGGGTGGTTTTGGAAATGTGTACTGCAAGTGCACGAAAAATACTAAATAGTACTATATTTGATACAATTTGGTATTGGGGGAACATGAGATTTGGCGGTGGATTGGAAATGTATTCTATATTTGTACGAAAAGTAATAAATAGTACGAAATTTGGTATTGGGTGAAGGGATAAACCTGAAGTCCTCAAATTTGATATGGATGTCACTGTTGGTGTCTGTGGTTGAAAGAAGAAGCTGGTTTTGAATATGTGTACTATAATTATATAAAAAGTACTAAATTGGGTATTGAGGGAAGGGATAGAACTGGAATCCCGAAATTTGATATTAAGGTCTCTGTTGGTATCTGGTTTAGAGATATGCAGGTTGTTTTGGAAATGTTTGCTATAACTGTTCGAAAAGTGCCAAATGGTACTAAATCTTGTATTGGGTAAAGGGATGGAGTTGAAATGCAATATTGCGATAACTGTTGGTGTCTAGGATTGCAATGAGTACTAAACTTATATGAGAAGTTCTAAATGCTACACTGTTTGTAATTCAATGAATATATAGGCCTGGAATCCTCAAATTTGATATTAAGGTCGCTGTTGGTATCTGATGTTGAGATGTGGTGATGGTTTTGCAAATGCGTCCTATAATTGTACTAAATGGTATTAATTTTGGATCAGTGTTGGTTCTAGGGTGGAGAGATGTAAAATGTTTTGAATATACGTTCTAAATGTTAATAAATTTGCCATTGATTGAAGGTATAGAGCTGAAATTCTGAAATTTGATATTGAGGTCACTGTTGGTCTTAATTAAAAAATATTGTCAAACGGAACCAATTGTTCATTTTGAATATTCTGATTAGAAAAAATTGAAACAAATAATATGTAGCATACACATATCACATACAGCCTACAAATATCCCTGCAAAATTTTGTAGAAAGCTTTCTCCGTTAAGATTTAAATGTAGTTTAATGTGGAATTCTCTCCAATTTGTAAAAATAATCTGATTTTTACAACTATAATAAATTTAAGCTATGTTACGGTAATTAAAATGGAATGGTATAATATGATAAATAGGATGGTATGATTTGTTTGCTATACCTCTCATTCGGTTTCATATTTAAGTCTTCCTCACGACATATAGACATTCTCTACGATATTCGGTACAAAATATAAAAAATAAAGCTTATCAAGTTTGTGGGCAATCGATCCATCCATGCATCATCCGATTTAATTTTTTTACCACAATATGCATTTAATAACATGCTCTCCTTTATAGAAATCTCCAATGCAAACGTCCATTTGTTACGGATAGTTATGCTAAATGTGGAGAGTGGTGTGGGGTATGATATAGTCGGTTCCGCCCTTATTTTGTTTTCTTCTTTCTGACTTATTCTTCATCCTTTAGGTTCGTTTTAAGAAATATATATTTAAGTTTAATAACTGCTTTATTTTAATTTTCTACCACACCATTGCCTCAAGTTATATCAAACGATCATTAATTATTCACTCAAATAAGTCATTAATTAATTTCAAATTACATAATATTTTTTCCAATTTCTCTCATTCTTAGGCCGGGCCCTCTTTTGGGAACAAAACAACATATAATTTCATAATTTCTCACACGATTAACAAAATTTTTAAAAATTACTATTATCAACATAATCTCTTAATGGTACAATTTGTTTCGCCGCTATCTTTGGAAATTGTGGTGGGAATTAATGCTTCTGGCCGCACCATAAATTATAATCGCTCGTTTATTGACATTTCATTCAAATTAATGTAACATTTACATGTAAATTAAAAATGCATTTCAGCCATAGATGTGACTTGGCAAGTGTAATTTGAAATTTGTCGGCTAAATTTGATACCAGGGTGGATGTAACGGCCTTTCTTTAAAATTTATATTCGATTTAATAAAATACAGGTAGCAAATGTGCGCTCTATCAGTATGTGCCCAGCATTTGGATTGTTATTTCCGACAAGGCAACTCATATGCATTTGTATTTTTTATTGTAATGAACGTCGGTGACAGCTGTTGGAACAAATCGAAATTGACTGCAAGTTTAGTGCCAATCGTTTTGTGATAAGGAAAAACATTTTGATATTCGGTTTGGTGGTTTTGTCGAATGAAGTTTTATTTTATTTAATATATATTTGAATCTGAGAATTACTTTCTAATTGGATGTTAATTATATGCACACATTATTCTACTTATCACAATTATTAAATGAACTTTTATGCTGCACCAGAATTGTAACATTTTGTTTTAATTTGTAGATCAATTGTGTTATTGCTAAAAGTATAATAATTAGACAATATAATAATATTGTGATTCCAGAAATTATACTGTAACATAATAACACAATAGCAGTTAGTTTCAGTTCTCAAATTTCACATTAAATTCATGTTGAATATTTTAAAGCCATGTGAAGCGTTAATATAACACGTTTCGTTTGTTTTTAACAAGGCATCGTTTGCTATTCGACTGTTACCTCATTTGGCTAATTGGTGCACAGTGGTACTCACGGATTGTGTATGAAATGTCATAATGTGTCAACATATTACATAATAATGGATATGCCCTAGAGATACGAAAATGGGAGCAAAATTTGGCTTTAAGTTTTCCTACTTTAACTTCTAGCTAAAATCGATTTTTGATTTTTAGTTTTCAATTTGATATTTGTATTTTCTCCAAAGATGGGATCGTTTTTATTTCCTTTAATGGACATTTTTAGAAGTGCTGAAACACATAACTTCAAAACTCCAAAATGTCCATGATCGAAAAATCGAAAATCGACTGTCAAAAGCAATTTTAGACGTTTTCCAATCAATTGAAAATTACTCTTTGGGTATTGTTAAATATGAAATTATGGAACATAAAAGAGAAAAAACTGAGTGAGTGACTGACTGATTAATCAACACCCAGACGAAACGGCTCAAGCTAGAATCTTGAAATTGTGCATTGTACTAAAATGTACATAAAATGTACTTCAAATGTAATAATTTTTATAAGACAAGCATAATGAGCTAGAATTTGGAATGAAATTCTCTGACGGACTGCAGGATATATGTTCCAATGAAATTCGAAACTAGAATTTCGAACTTTAAGGTAATGAAAAATTTTAAAGTGGCACTAAACTTACAAAATGGTATAATTTGTTATTATGTGAAGGGATAAAGGTAAAACATTGAAATTTGGTATGAGTTTGGTTTAGGGTGAATGGATGGAAATGGAATTTTAAAATTTTGTAATGGAATCCCTGTTGGCGGTAGGTTTGTGATAAAAAGGTGGTTTTAGAAATGTGAACTAAATGTGGCGGAAAGGACTAAATTGTACTATATTTGGTACAATCTGGTATTGTTCATCCAATAATGGATACTGCTTGAAATCAGAAAATTAGTATTAGGGTCGCTGTTCATGTATAGCCTGTACGTATGGAGGTGGTTTCGGAAATGTGTAATATAATTGTACGAAAAGTACTGAATGGTACTATATTTGGTATTGGGGTAGATATAATATTCTGGTATTTGATATATATAGATTGCTGATGGTATCTGTGTTGAAATGCTGCTGTGGTTTGCAAATTTATTCTATATTTGAACGAAAAGTACTAAATGGAACCATATTCGTTATTGAGTGAAGGGATAGGGCTGCAATCCCCAAAATTTGATATTGAGATCTCTGTTGTTATCTGGAATTGATATATGAAGATTGTTTTGGAAATATGAATAGTTGAACAAATACTGCTTGAAATCAGAAATTTGGTATTAGGGTCGCTGTTCGTGTGTAATCTGATCGTATGGAGGTGGTTTCGGAAATGTGTACTATAAATTGTAAAAAAAGTAGTAAATGGTACTATAATTGGTATTGGGATTGATATAAAATTATGAAATATGTTATTTCGATTACTGATGATATCTGTTTTTGAGATTTGGCTGTGATATGGAAATGTGTCCTATATTTGTACGAAAAGTACTAAATTTGGTACTAGGTGAAGGGTTGGAATACGGAAATTTGATATTTAGGTCTGTGTTGGTATCTGAAATTAAGATATGGAGATGGTTTTGGACATTTTTACTACAATTGTAAGAAAAGTACTAAACAGTACTATATTTGGTACATTTTGGTACTAGGTGAAAATATAGTGTTCAAAATCAGAAATTTAGTATTAGGGTCGCTGTTCATGT